TGAGATCAAATATATCCTGACACCAAACTTATTCCAAATAATTTTTCATTTAAAGCACAAATGAGATAAACGAAACAAAGGATCAATAATTTTACTTCCACATAGATGTTAAAGTGTGATTCAAAATCATTTTAATGAAAATTACAGTCCCCTTTTGTGGTTCGAAATTTCCACAGTTCAAGCGGCCCGAAATCTCAAAGCGACATTGTTTTCGCTTTTTTTTTTTTTTTTTTTGTCATAACTCACAAAAGAAGAAGAAAAAAGAAAGAAGAAGAAAAAAAAAAGAGAAGAGGAGAGGAGCAGGGAGAGAGAGAGAATCATCATCATCAACCAAAAATCAAACTCACCCAACACATCATCATCAACACAGGAGAGAGAGAGAATCATTATCATCAACCAAAAATCAAACCCACCCAACACATCATCATTACCACACAAAGAGATCAACGAAAAATCAAACCTACCCAACATATAGAGACAGAGATATAGAGAAGGAGAGAGAGAGAGATACAGAGAGAGAGGGTGATAGATACACAGAGAGAGATACAGATCTGTGTATGCACACACAGATCTGTGTATACACATAGAGGATGGCGAGAGCCGGTGATGGTTTGTTCCCCCTCCGTCTGTGTATGCACACACAGATCTGTGTATACACATAGAGGATGGCGAGAGTCGGTGATGGTTTGTTCCCCCTCCGTCTCTGTGTATGCACACACAGATCTGTGTATACACATAGAGGATGGTGAGAGCCGGTGATGGTTTGTTCTCCCTCCGTCTTCTCTCTTCCTTCTCTCTTTCTTCCTTTTTTCTCTTTCAGATATCAATGGGGGAAAAAAAAAATCTAAAACGACGTCGTTTTGGATTCGGATCACTCGAGCCACGGAAATTTCAAGCTCTGAAGTATTTTTTTTAAAAATTATCTCTAAAATAATTTAAATCACATATTTATTATTTTGCATAACAATTTTGTGAAGGATATAACCTCCACCGCCAATGAATTGGCTTCCACCTGAGTGTGTCAATTTCATGACTGCAAATTGGAATCATATATTATCGGAAAAATTGTAAATAAGTGAGATAATTTTAAAATAATTATATTATGGGTAGAATTTTTTAAAAAAGTTTGACACACACAATAATAATAATAAATTATACCAAACACACGCACACACAAAAACAAAAAAAACAAAATTTATACACATAACAGACTTGTATCATAAAAATAAAATTATTTTCTCACTACCTTACTTATATTCAATTCCCATTATGCAAGCTGTATTTAACAAGCCACCTTGACTCTTATGGGTTTTTCACTTTCTTATTAGAGGATGGCTTCCCTCTAGTCGTTGATGGAGAGTACTGTTGGATTCATAGGGGCTCACCACGAGTCCTGTTTTGATAATTCGAACCGTTCAATATGTAGAACTCGTCGAGTACTATATGCATGTCAAAAATAATATCGATAGCTAGTTTATCGGATTAAATTTCTAACAACCGTTTATTTTTTTACCATCTATTTTTTTAATACAAAATTGATTTGATTACATAGCTATCGATATTCGATCAACATGATTTTTTACAAGCAGATTCATAGGGGCTCACCACGAATCCTGTTTTGATAATCCGAATCGTTCAATATGTAGAACTCGTCGAGTACTATATGCATGTCAAAAATAATATTGATAGCTATTTTATCGGATTAGATTTCTGACAATCGTTTATTTTTTTACCATCTATTTTTTTAATACAAAATTGATTTGATTACATAGCTATCGCTATTCGATCAACATAATTTTTTACAAACATATAGTACTCAACGAGTTTTACACATTCACGATTCGGTTATCAAAATGGGACCCATGATAAACTCTCACGAATCGAACAGTATCTCTAATCTGATCTGAAACTTGAAGAAAGTCAGACCCTTCTTATTATTCCAAACCATACATTTATATATATATATATAGCTTGTAGTTTAAGAAACTAGAATGAGCTATGAGCTGTACTTGGTTCGATCACAAAGATGAGTGATCCCTACTCCTAGATTAGTGGTGGGGCTTTGGGGTGATTTTATTTATTTATTTTTTAAATCGGTAGGCATCTGGTTCTTTTTTTAAAAAAAAAAATTAATGAAACATCCCTCTTTAATTTTGTATTATAAAAGAGGTCTACGATGTTTTTTTATTAGCTAACATTCCTTGATGAAATTTCTCTGTGATCTTACCAGAGAAATTTCAAAATTTCTCTTTGAAATTAGAAAAATTTCTTTTTGAAAATTGAAATTTGAAATTTCTCTACGTTGGGGTCAAAATTTCTTTAAATCGGATAAAAATTTCTCGAGTCGAATTTTTTTTGTGAAAATGCAAAAGGACCCCAACTATTATGAAAATATTATATGTCATTTATTTTATACAATTTTAATATAAGGGAACTTACAAAAAAAAAAACCTTTTCTTTTAATGATTATTTTAGAAGCTAAAAAAGTTATTAAAGAAACCAAAATATGTTTGGAAAATTGTTAAAAAAGTGAAAAAATAAATATGATGTTTGATTTTTTTAACTGATGACAAACAAAATAATTTAATGACTTTTTAACTTTTTTTTTTATCTAAAAATTAGCTTCTTTTTTTGTTAACTTCCCAAACGAAGTGATCTGAGCCTCTCCAACACTTTCTTCATGGATCTCCTTTCCAAACAAAATTGCGAAAGACGTGTAAAAAGTTAAAATTTAATTTTTTGGTTTATTATAAAAAGACGTGTAAAAAATAAAGGGATAACGTGACCCAATTAAATCAATACGTCAATAAATGGACTTTTTCGACACTTCCAAAAAGATCACAAGTGAAAAATTAGACGTGGTATTTTATTTTTTTAACTCATAACAAATAATATGTTTGCTTGTGAGAAATGTTTGGGACCCTTTTTTTTTTTTTGGAGATTCCATGTCCCCCAATTTAATCTTAACCTTTGATGTATGTGTGTGGTCCACTCATGTATGTGTAGGTCCCACGTTATGAGTGGTTAGAATGGGAGTGTGGGTTGTGGGGGTCATGTCTGTGTGGGGTCTCTATCACAATTGTTTCTCTTAATATTGTATACTAGCGTTACATGATATTATTATTAAGGAAAGATTATGATACACACCCTTTAACGGGTGTGTACCGTATACACCTTATAATTAAAAAAAAAATGATATAATTTATACTTTTTAAGTCATAATTAAAAAAATAAAAAAAAATCGTAATCAAACAACACATGAGGTATAATAAAAACTCTCATGAGTTATAACTAAAATACGATTATAACTAAAAAAGAAAATTAGTCACAATTAAACAAGAAAAAGATATTACTTAAGGTGCATATGGTAAGAATGTGTATAGCAGAATTTTCTTTATTATTATTATACTCAATATTTATTCATTCATTCTATTTGGTAGAGTTTTTAAAAATAAATTTTTTATAAGAAAAAAAAACAACTAAATAAGCAAGAAAAAAAAAAACATAAAAAAGATATTTTTAAAATTTCTAAAATTATTTTCACTCCAAAAAAAAAAGTATATGAAAATTATGAGGGTTTTTTTTGAGAAAAAAAAACTTAAAATTTAAAAAATATATATTTTTAAAAATTCAACCAGACAAGACTTCATGGAGCTTGATGAAGAGGCTGGATATTCTAATGATCGATTTTTATTGAACTTTCCTAAAACGACACAACATTTCAGCAAAGTCCTTTTCTAGCTCAAGCACCAAAAACACATTTAAAAAAAAAAAAAAATCATCCAATAACATGAAATTATATCCACCAATGGGACTTAAACTAGTTTTATTTATTTGTTTAACTGGTCAAGAATAAAGGAAAATTATTAAAAAGTCCTCCAATAAGATGAAATTATATCCACCAACGAGGATTAAATTAGATTTCTTTATTTATCTCCTATTATTTTTAATAAAATACTGAAATAAGTGGACAGACATAAGATATTAAAAAGTTGTGCCCCAAAAAAGGTAATTAAAAAGTTCTCTAATAAGTTAAACTTATATTCACCAGTGGGGATTAAATTAGTTTTCTTTATTTGTTTAAGTGGACAAGAATAAGGGGAAAATTATTAAAAGGTCCTCCAATAACTAAAATTAAATCCACCAGTGGCACAAAAATTAGATTTCATTAATTTTTTCCAAAATTAAAAAAAAAATACTCAAATAAGTGGACAATCATTGATACAGATCTGGGTTCAAACCCTAATGGTAGGTTTATTTTTGTTTTATTTTCGTTTTTGTTTACTGTTTTCAATTTTGATTATTTAGAAAACACAAAACCTTCTCCCCTCCCTCTTCAAACCCCAAAATTTTCATTCATTTCTTGTCACAAAAATAAATAAATAATTACAATCAATAATTATTCAGAATATTACTTTAGAGATTTTATAACATGTGATTTGTCATACCATTTATGGCATCTAAATGAGCCTAAAAAAGAAAAGAAAAGAAAAGAAAAGAGAAGAAAAAGCTTATCATCTTTGCCTTTAAAAGAAAGTGCATGTTACAAAAGGCACAAACCTACTATGAAATCATGAAGCTCAAGCTTTCTTATCCATCAAGAAGTCTTCACTAAAATCCCTAACTTTGAAAAATTGCAAAATAAATAAATAAATAACAAGTTTGATGCCTATATGGGTTGTTTTCTTAAATTGAAAGTAGGTAATGAGAAAGTAAAAACTAAACATTCCTTCCTAACTTTTTAAAGTTTTTTCAATTATTATTCCTCATAAGCTAAGTAGAAGTTATGTCAAACAATTTAAATTCCCAAAATAAAAATAAACAAAATACAAAAAACTCTAATGAGCAACCACAAACACAATCATCCTATTGAAATCATTTTGGAAAAAAATAAATAATCAGACACTACATATATATGTACCCAGTATATAAGCATAGATGAATCAGTCTTAAAATGTTAGACTGATCTGAAAAACAATGATCAAGATGGACAGACATACCTTTCTTTGGTATGGATTTGGTGGTACAATATTGATGAATATCCTTCTTGCAAAGAAGATAGCTTTCTCTCTGTGTTTCTTCAAAGTGTCAGAATCAGAAACAGAAGACAGCTTTTCTGAGATGCAAGCAGCCCCAAATTGATTGTTATATATACAGTGAGAGAGACAGAGAGAGAGAGAGAGAGAGCGCAACACACCATAAGGTCTATTCATAACTCTTTTTATTAGTGAAATCTGGTTGAGCCAAGCGGTGTTCACTGTTGAATTACACCTTTCCCATTGGACAGCTTTTTTGTCATAGAGGTCCATGCTAGAAGAAGTTATTAGTTGGTTTGAGGGCACTGTTATGTGGTGTCATAAATGTGTTTTTGATGGGTAAAGAAAATAGAGTTTACGATTTTATATTGAATGAGCGAAGAATAAGATAGGACATTGTATATTGTGATTGGTAAAGAGTACCGTTATGTGGGTCCCATAGTACTAAATAATTTTTTTCTATGCTAAGCCTATGGCTGAAAAAATTATTTGGTGCTGCACAGGTATCACCTAGCAATATCTTCATCAATCACCATATATCTATTGTTTTGCATAACTCAACACAAAGTTGTGAATCTCATCATTTCCATCAATTATAAGGTACATAAGGTACTCGGTGGAGCCTTGAACCAGTGCCAGCCCTGGGCATTGGCCAACAAGGCTATGGCCTAGGGCCTCTCAAGATAGACTTAAAAAAGGGGTCTCTTTTATTATGGTATAGTGTAATATATTAAGTATGTTTTAAGTTAAAAAAACAATTAAAGAGAAAATACAAATTAACTTAAAATAAATTGACCCATTAAAAAATTAAAAGGTCCATTCAAAAAAATTAACATTGTAATCCACTAAAAATAGACCCAAAAAAGGGTCCTCCTATTATAGTTTATTGTAATATATTAGGTATATTTTAAATCTAAAAAAAAATTAAGAAAGACCTAAACTAACTTAAAATAAATTGACCTATTAAAAAATTGAAAGATGCATTTAAAATAATTAGTATTGTTATTCATTGAAAATGATTTTGCAAAAAAATAGATTATGCAAGTATGATTAATTTATTTGCTTCTAAAAATGCAAGAAGAGCGAGGATCAAACGACACTTATTAATTGTTGTAATGTAATACTAAGTATTTTTTGTAATTTTGACACAAATTTTGTCTTTTATCTTCATTTTTTTTTTCATTTTTTTTCATTCAATGAAAAAAAAAATGTGAAAGACCCCAAAAATTTATTAGTTAATTATTGGCTTTGGGCCCCGAAAATCTCAAGGCCGGGCCTGCCTTGAACGACCAAATATAGTTTTAGAGAAATTATGTGAGAGTCTTGGAGTACATTCATTGGTGTCACAACTTGATATTTATTAGTTAAAATTGTAGGAGTTAGTACTTTTTGTTTGAGGAATAAATTTACGAGTGTCAAATAATAAATGATATAAAGTAATATTTTAAAACCATCAAATAATTACTCACCTACACTTAGCCCCTATGCAGTTTCACCATCATCGTCATTTTACTTTCAATTTTTAGAGTCAATTTTACAATTTAAGTTGTAATGTCAAACTTTAGGACTGACTATTACAATTGAAAGTGAATGATGTACAATAAAATTACAGTAACAATATAGAGGTGCTAAATATAAATAATCCATTTCTGTATCTAATGGACATATGTTGAATAATATATGCTTCAAAATTAACAAAAAATTTCTTCTTAATTATGGATTAGACTTTCATGTGAGAAGAGGAATTGAAATATAACTGACAAATTAGTGAAGACCATATGATTTAAAACACACACACACACACACAACAGTTACAGGTTGATCCCCTTTGCCTTTGACTTGCCTAATTTTTTACTTTTGCACCTATAGGTACACTATCCCACATCGCTCTGTAAGAGATCACAGTTCCACTATATAAGTGGACTGACTTCCTTAGACTCATATGAAGCCTTTTAAAGCCGTGAGGGGTAAGCTGCTGGTTTTTGCCTAACTCCAAAGCAAACAATATCGTGCTAGTCGGGGAGGGTTAGTTGCTTCATTTGGCGTCGTCTGTGGAAACTCCCTGCTCAGGTAACCAGTCCACTAGGGAGTTATGTGGGCGTACTATTTCACATCGCTCTGTGAGAGATCACAGCTTCACTACATAAGTGAACTAACTCCCTTCGACTAGTATGAGGCCTTTTAAAACCGTAAGAGGTTAGCTGCTGGTTTTCGTCTAACTCCAAATTGAACAATATCGTACTAGTCGGGAAGGGTTAGCTGCTTCATTTGGCATCGTCTGTGGGAACTCCCTGCTCAAGCAGCCAGTCCACTAGGGAGTTATGTGGGTGCACTATCACACATCGCTCTGTGAGGATCGCAGATTCACTACATAAGCAGACTAACTCCCTTAGACTAGTATGAGGCCTTTTAAAGCTGTAAGGAGTTAGCTGTTGGTTTGCGCCTAACTCCAAAGCAGACAATATTGTACTAGTTAAGGAGGGTTAGCTGTTTCATTTGGCGCCGTCTGTGGGAACTCCTTACTCAGGCAGCCAGTCTACTGGGGAGTTATGTAGGTGTACTATCTCATATCGCTCTGTGAGAGATCATGGCTTAACTTCCACAGACTAGGGATGGCAATTTGAAACCGACTCAATGGGGACCCAACCCCGAATTGAATGGTTTTTTCCTGAAAAATAACCCCGACGAGCTGGGATGGTATTTAAAAATAAATCCCCGATGATTTCGGGCCGGGGACGGGGATATATTTTCCAACCCCGGCCCCGCCCCGTTCAGCCCCCCGATCCAGTTTATATATGTATAAATATATGTGTGTGCTGTGTGTTTATATATATATATATGTGTGTGTGTGTGTGTGTGTGTATGTGTGGTGTGTGTGGGGGGGGTTTGGTGTGTGTTTTGGCAACAAACATAATAACAACATCTCTGGCCCTTCTCTCTCACTCTCTCACACGCTGCTTCTCTCCCTCACCACCGGCTCCTTCTCACCGGCAGTTCCCTTACCGCCGGCTTCTTCTCTCTTTCTCACCACCGACTCATCTCCCTCTCACGGTATCTCCGTTTCTCTCTTTCTCTCTCTCTCACGGATCTCCTCTCTCTCTCTCTCGTTTTTTGCTTTTGTTCTTCAGATCTGGAAAATGATGGAGATGAAGATGTTGATGAAGATCTGTTGATGTTGTTGAGGTCTGTTGATGTTGTTGTTGTTGTTGTTTAGATCTGAAGATGAAGATGTTTTCTGGTGCTGTGGGTTTTTTTTTTTTGGCCAGGAATTTTCGGGGTCGGGGAAACCCGATCCTCGTTAGGGGGGGTGGGGGCGGTAGTGGGTTCCCCGTCGGGGATCGGGGCCGGGGACGGGGAGGGTGATCCCCGGCCCCGTCCCGTTGCCATTCCTACCACAGACGGCGCCTAATGAAGGAACTAACCCTCATCGACTAGCTCGATATTGTCTGCTTTAGGGCAAAAACCAGCAGTTAATCCCTCACAGCTTTAAAAGACCTCATACTAGTCTAAGGGAGTTAGTTAACTTATGTAGTGAAACTGTGATATCTCACAGAGCGATGTGGGATAGTACACCCACATAACTCCTCAGTTAACTAGATGTCTGAGCAGGAAGTTCTCACCAAGTGAAGCAGCTAACTCTCTTCGACTAGCATGATATTGTCCGCTTTGGAGTTAGGCAAAAACTAGTAGCTAACTCCTTACGGCTTTAAAAGGTCTCATACTAGTACAAGGAAATTAGTCCACTTATGTAGTGGAGCTGTGATCTCTCACAGAGTGATGTGGGATAGTGCACCTATAACACCTATATGTCCTGACTCCATCCATGAATGTGGTCCTCTTGTGTAGGTCGGATCACAAATGTGACTTTCAAATTAATTTTCTTCTTCTTTTGTGTGTGTGTGTGTGTGAAACTCGTGTATGAAAGGTACCGAAACTTCTAGTAATAATACATTTTTAGAATTTGACCTATTACAAAAAAAAAAGAATGTAAAAGAAGAGTTATTTATTAGGGGGATTTACGTGTAAGTCTTCATAAGTGAACTTATTTTTTAATAGGTCCTATCATAATTAATGGTATTTTTTATCAAACACCATTAAAACAACGACAATTTAAAAATTTTGTCACAAAAAAATTCATTAATTATACGTTTAGCAACAATTTAAAAAAAATTGTCATAAAAAAGTCATTAATTTCAACTTTTAGCAACAATTTAAAAATTTTGTCACAGAAAAATCTCACTAATTTTAAGTTTTAGTGACAATTTATAAAAATCATAACAAAAAAAAGTCACTTATTATCAATTTTTAGCAACATGTAAAAAATTATTTTTCGCAACAATTTAGAAAAATTTATTTTCAATAAAACTTGATGGAAATTAAATCTAACTATTTGGATATATTGATAATTTATCATATTTATTAAATAGTAGTAGTATTATAGAACACGACGGATCCAAGAAAATGAAATGTGCCTACCCGGTTCACATGAGTAAGGTATGTTAAACGGGTTCTTAGTTAATTCCCACATTTATTTTTATTTATTTAGCTTTTTTATTTTTCAAAACTTTAAGAACAACCAGCCTTTTGGATCTAGTGTTGCATGCAGTGCCCTCCCATTCAAATTGACCCTCATTAATTAATGGTCATGTTAATAATTTACAAGATTGTTGTTAACATGTCAACTCGTTTCCACAATGGTGTGTGACATAGATTACAATAAAATTAATCTAGTGAATAAAGGGTTTGTTTTAGGATGGATTATAATCTTGAATTTTTTAAGTTTGATTATTCTGTTATATCCTCTCTTAACTGATACAAATATTACAACTATATACACCTTAGATCTCACGATTAGATTGATAGTGTAAATCTCTTTGCTTACATATAGATCTTATTTAATGTGTATTTGTTGGAGTTTATTCATTGTATTTCATTGTAAAATCATATATAAATTAATAAAAAGAAAAAAATTAGGAAGGGGTCACTTTATTTGGACAGGTTCACCGAACAGCATAATTTCATTTCTTATCATCTTTTAATTAGACCATCTTCAACGGTTCACCAAAGTTGACATCAAATTTAAAATTTGATGAAAAAGTTACTGTTTGGTGTTCCAACGGTTGCACCAAATCGATATCAAATTAAGATTTCACCAAACAATTCATCAAACTGAGGACAACATACAGATTTCACCAAAACACTGTGTGTGACCGTTGGACGGAGGAACCGGTCAACCAGCCGGTTGCCCGGCCGGTTGACCAACCGGTCGACCGGTGCACCATTTAAGCCACTGGTTCGTTTGAATCCTTAGCTGGTTGGTTTGAACTGCTGCCTCGCGTGACCGTTGGAGAGCAACCGGTCAACCACCCGGTTGACCAACCGGTCGACCGGGTTGGGCAATTCGGCTACAGTGCACAACTAGCAAGAACAGGTTTGAACTGGTTGGTTTCAACTTGTTTGAGCTGGTTTATACCGGTGCACCATTTAAGCCACTGGTTCGTTTGAATCCTCAGCTGGTTGGTTTGAACTGCTACCTCGCGTGACCGTTGGAGAGCAACCGGTCAATCACCCGGTTGACCAACCGGTCGACCGGGTTGGGCAATTCGGCTACAGTGCACAACTAGCAAGAACAGGTTTGAACTGGTTGGTTTCAACTTGTTTGAGCTGGTTTATTTGGACATAGGTTAATTTGTGGATTATGAATAATTTGAAGAGTGATATAAATTTAAATTCCCTATATATTTGACATACATATTTCACAACTAGCCGTTACAATAATTTACCGTTGGATGGACAGAGTATTTTGAAAATTTACCGTTGATAATGTGCTCTATAAAATAGATCTGATTTCTATATCAAGCTGACAGAGTATTTCATTTTCAGAATAGCATTTATATGTTGTGAATTTTTTTTTTCTTTTGTATCATTAGATATTTGTTTCCCTTGAAATTTTAATTAATATTATCTGATTAAATTATTTGATTCTGAGTTTGAGCTTTATATCATTACAATATTTTTCAGTAAGTGTATTGTATTTTTTCTAAACTATGGAAGATTTCGAAATATTTGAGGAATTACAAATGTTTGAACACAACACTCATATTAATTTTATGTCGGAATCTTCACGAGAACAGAACACGCAGAACAGTGATAATCATTTTATTTCAGAAACTTCTCGTGTTTCTCGTGGTAAAGCATTCACAATTATAGAAGATGAAACTTTATGTAGATCTTGGTTAGCAGTCTCTCAAGATCCCATTACTGGTAATAGTCAGACTATGGCTATATTTTGGGAACGAGTACTTGTTTATTTTAATTCACAATTGAGTAGTGAATCAAATCGAAATCGTATTTCTTTGACTCACCGTTGGTCTGCCATGCAAAAGGCAATTAATAAATTCTGTGGTTTTCTTGAACAAATTCAACTGAGGTAACAAAGTGGAACAACTGAGACAGATATGGTAAAATTTATTTGTGTTATTGAATATCAATTTTCTTTTTTAAATGTATACTTGTTATTGAAATCTTTGTAATTTTTTTTTGTAGGTCACTGAAGCGAAGCAGATGTATCATGCAATACAGAAGAAACACTTCACATTTGATACATGTTGGGAGATTTTGCGCCAAAGTTGTAAGTGGGATGAATTTCGATCAAAAAGAAGCACGCAACATGCTGATCCATGTTCGAATCCACCAAGTGAATATGAGGCTTCTCAATCCAACCAGAATAATGCGGTGCACGAACAACCATCTAATACATCAACACGACTAATTGGTACTAAGGCAGCGAAAGAGAAGTTGAAGAATCAAACAACTTACGATAGTAGATTTGACGAAATGGCTGCCAACCAATCCAAAATTGTTGAAGTGTTATCAACTAGCTCCGCTAGAACTATTCAGCGAGATGAACAAAAGGCGATAGACCGTGAGCAGAAGGCTGCAGAGCGTCGAACAAGGGCCGAAGATAGGGAGGAACATCTAAAACTCCTATCTATGATGAATGAAAGAGAATAACGAAATGAAGATCATAAAATTATGTCAATGGACATGACAATTTTAAATCCTATGCAAAGGGCGTATTATGAAGATCTTTAAAGACAGATTTTATTTCGAACAACTAATAGATTGCCTTGAAAGGTTCCGTATTTGTGGGTTTTATCTATTGGTTTTATTATTTAAAAAAGAAAATTGATATTTAATAACACAAATAAATTTTAACATGTCTGCCTCAGTTGTTCCACTTTGTTGCCTCAGTTGAAGTTGTTCAAGAAAACCACAGAATTTATTAATTGCCTTTTGCATGCCAAACCAACGGTGAGACAAAGAAATACGGTTTCGATTTGATTCACCACTCAATTGTGAATTAAAATTAACAAGGACTCGTTCCCAAAATATAGCCATAGTCTGACTATTACCAGTAATGGGATCTTGAGAGACTGCTAACCAAGATCTACATAAAGTTTCATCTTCTATAATTGTAAATGCTTTACCACGAGAAACACGAGAAGTTTCTAAAATAAAATGATTATCACTGTTCTGCGTGTTCTGTTCTCGTGAAGATTCCGACATAAAATTAATATGAGTGTTGTGCTCAAACATTTGTGATTCCTCAAACATTTCAAAATC